ACACTTCTCTTAAGTCCCACCCACCCGAGAGGGTTGGGTCAGAATTGCAATCAAAACCTCAAGCAGCGCAAAGGAGAAAGCCGAGAAGTGAAACTGCAAATCTGGTAGCGAGAGCAAAAATCTGAGCAGTGAGAATGAAACAAAGGAAAATGAAAAGAAAAATACATGGAGTCAAACATAACAAATAAAAATACTTTTATTACTCATTTTAATAAGTTGATTCATATAGTAAGTTTCACTTTTGAAACGATTTTTTTATTTTTATTTTTTTGCAATTTATTATTTTTCTCGCACATTCTTAATTTTTGTTTGATCTTCTAAGAGTTTTTCTTGAAACTATTGGCATGAATCTAGTCCCATACCCGGACTCCAGCTGATGGAAGGGCAGGATCTGGCAGAAAAAAGGCCACAAATGTAGACTCCTGTCTCCATATGACCAGATACTGAAGGGGTCAAACTGTACTTGAAAAATTGACCATTTCTGGACGTTACACAATGTTTGGATGACATGTTTCTGCAATTGTGCATTTCAGAGGTAACATTTAATTTGTTAGTAGCTGTTAAGAGCGTTTAAAGCAAAATGACAGAACATGCTCCAGAAACATCTCTTACTGCACCTTTAACCTAAAGCACATTGTACGGTATGGAGCAGCTCATTCTGGGTTAGAGGTCAACCTCCTAATGTCCACTGTGCTAGACTGCTTTCAGGCCTCCATATTGACTCCATAGTCATTCTGTTAGCACCAGATGTCCACCACCAGCTGCTCAGGAATTTATTGCTTTGCTGTTATGGAGATTTTAAAAAAATCAGTGCTTGCATTTTTAATCAGCCAACCTGACAGTACAGACTTTAGTTACACAAGAGATGCATTTATTTGACAGGGAACATTTTGCATCTGTCCTAATAATCTAGAGATAATGAAGATTTGGATTTTTACAAGAAGACTTTTCATAGTTGGATTGCTATTTGAAACGAGGTCATTTTACTCTAGATTCTGTTGTTTATCTGCGTCTTCAGCCTTGGTCCAGTAGAGCAGATGTGACATGGTAAATAAATGGTAGAGCCCTGGAACCCCCCAAGGCGCTTTACAGTCATTCACACACACGTTCACACCCTGGTGGGGATGAGCTACATTTTAGCCACAGTTGCCCTGGGGCGCACTGACGGAGGCAAGGCTGCTGAGCACAGATGCCACCGGTTCCTCCAAACACTACCAGCAGGCAAGGTGGGTTAAGTGTCTTGCCCAAGGACACAATGACAGCGACAAACTGAGCAAGATCGAACCTGCAACCTTCCAAGGACTGCTTTGCAAATAATGCAGGTTATCTTTTTATTCACCAAATCCAGGCTAGAATGCTCCCAAACGTTAGATGTTTTGGTACGCGTAGGTGCTGTGTTGGATGCCACCATTTCTGTTCGTTAGTTAGCGCTCAGCAGAGAAGCTATTGCGCATGTGCGAATCTCGGTAGAGTTTGTAATGAGGTGAGAGGCCTCAATCGGTCGGAAAGACACGTCTGGCGACAACGTCGACAATGAAGTTCATTGTCGACTATTTCTATTGTCGATATTTGTCGACAACTTTGACGAATCGTTGCAGCCCTATTTGTATGCACTCTGGCATTATTTTATTATGTAAAGCACTTTGGTCACCTTCTATGGTCGTGCAAAGTGCTACAAATAAACTTGATTGATTGATTGATTGATTGATTGGTACTGTACAGATTAATTGATGTTTCACAGGTTTGGCACATGAAAAGTTAAGTTCTTGTTGGAACAAACAAAAACAGGAATGGCAACAGTTGGTTTGTATGTGAACTTTGTAGGAGAAACTTGTGGCCAACCCTGAGGTGGATTTCCACCTCTGTTTTTTTAACCATTCAATGACTTCCTCCAAACCACATGCTAATGCAGCACTTATATAGGAAGGCTTTAGTACAGTATCAGTGGTATGTCATGGTGCACAAAGGTCCAATCCTCGACTCAAACAGTAAAAACAGGAACAATGGCAGTCACCCGTTTACGGAGAAGGTGTTTCATTAGAGGAAGATGGAGCTCCTATAAGGTTCTCACCACCATTGGTATGGGTTTTTTCTTCTTTTTCTACATGAAGGTCTGTAAATCATGTCCTATATTGTATCTACTGTGTGTTTATGATGAAGCTGAGATATCACATTAAACAGCAGTTCCTCCTGTCCTGTGTGTAGTTCATTCTCCTGGGATCCTCCAGCTGTTTGTTCTGCTTCTGCATAATTTATCCTTATTGATCCCCGTGCAATAAAAACATCACAGCGCCGGTGTTGGTGTGCCTCGAGGCTCCGGCATTATTTATGATTGGTTCGACCCTGTTGCTCCACGTCCAGGCGGCGACTATGTAATGTCAACATGAAATAATCATGAGGAGCGGTTCATTGACTCGATCTGTTGTTCGTGTGGGCATTGGAAGATGCTTTGGTGCTAAGAGGTGGTGGATATTTTTTGTTTGATTGGCCTGATATTTGATTCTGTTTGGTTTGGTTTACAAAACCATTTTACATTCATTCATTTCTTAGCACCTGAAAAGGTAAACTCTTGATCTCAATATGTAAAAACATGTTGCAGATCTAAACACGCCAGGCAGCAGCACCATTTGTTTTTTAATAACTCACAATTTAATTTTGTCTCCAAATGACCACCTAACAAAAGCAGCAGAAACCAAATTATTGTAAAATTATTACTCTGGCTCCAGTTATTGGGTAAAGCGTGAATTTTAGTTTCTTTGTATAGAAAGGATTGCTTTTTACTGTCTACTGACACTTCTTCTGAATTTCTCAGACTTAAAAATTATAAAAAAATAAAAAGATGAAAGTAATTTACCAATTTTTGATTTTCAGAAAAGAGGACTCTTGATCTGCTTGTCTCAGGAACCTGTCTCCCAATTACTTCATGCTACAGCAACACCACATAGATAAACTACATTCCTTCCCAATTTTTCACCCAGCTAAGTAATAAAATCAGTATCAGACTCTACTAACAGAATGGTTCTGAAAAAAATTCAAATGTGATTTTTTTTGCATGTATAAAAACACCAGTGTCTGTGTCCACAAAGCCAGATATTTGTTATAGTAGTGATGATTATGGCTTACCCTAACCCTAACCCCACATTCAAAATCTCAGTTAATTATATGTGTCACACTCTAATTAGCTAATGAAACACAAAACCTGCAACTGTTGCTGAGCCTTTAGATGGTCTCACAGTCTAAGTTGAATTACTGAAATAAATGGACTTATGCACCATGCTCTCATTTTTTTCAGTTTCACCTGTATAAGTGTTGAATTCTTTTGTAGACATGATTTGTCCTCTTGTTTTTGCTATTTGTTCAATAAAGATTTTTTTAAAAGTGCCCCTTTTAATAAGAATCCCCTAAAATGTATTTTTTTCCATGTGAGTAAATTAATTTCAGTAGACAATTTTATTGGTTTTTTCTTGATGTGCAGTTTGGGGTTATATATTTGACCAAAAATCGGTTACAAGGGAAATGATGTATTTCTTTGTAGAAGTCGTCCAAGTTTCACCCCAAACAGATGTGGTCACCCTAGAACCATACCATACCATACCAACTTTATTTCTATAGCACAATTTAAGACAAAGCGTGAGAGCTGACCAAAGTGCTGAACAGGCAGGATCAATTAAAACAAAAAAGAAGAAACAATAAGAAAATAAAACAGCAATAAAAACTATAAAATCATAATACGATAGCATGAATCACTGTCTAAAAGCCACGTCATAAAGTAGTTTTTTAAACGAGATTTAAAAACAGGCAGAGAGGATGCCAGCCCAACTAACTGTAATGGGCAGTGAGTTCCAGAGCGTGGGGCAGCATGGACAAACGCATGTTCAACTCGTGATTTGTAGGACATCCGAGGAATGCAAAGCAGTAGACAATCAGCTGACCTCAACATACGAGTAGGTACACAGGGGAGTCAGCAGGTCAGACAGATAAGGAGGAGCTAGGTCATGTAGGGCTTTAAAAACAAACATCGCTATCTTAAAACGCACACGAATTGTGATGGGGAGCCAGTGAAGAAGTTCCAGGACTGGTGTAATATGGCTATGTCGACTTGTGTTTGTTAAAAACCTAGCAGCAGCATTTTGGACAACCTGCAACTGGTTCAGGGCAGAGACAGGAGTTCCAACTAATAGTGCATTAGCGTAGTCCAAGCGAGAGGTGACGAAAGAACACCACATTGTAACAGAACAGTTAGTCTGGACCAACAAATCGCATCAGTCAATTGAAATATTAGTCCTTTGAAAAACTACGAAAACCTGGATATTTTCATCAATCTACGAATCCCTCTGGCTGCCTCGGACAGAGGGTGAAAAGTGTCCGGGGATGAGAGGACATTCGGTCAGCTCCCTATTGAGAATCATAGATGAAACTAGAATTCGTTGTTAGGCTCTCAAGCGTTTTATTTAAGTTGTAGGTGCCACGGGGGTTTGAGGATAAAGGAATGTTCTTCGCATAACCTTGGAATGGGATGCTACAATAAAAAGAAAACAAAGAAACTTTCATCGGTTGTTGTGTCTGACGTCCCGTTCATAGTTTCTATTTTTTACCTACAGTTTTAAGAATTTTCTGTTTACGGCTACAGGAGTGAACCCGTTCTAACAATCTTCTCAGTGTTTTGCTTGCCTCTTGAGTTTTACTTCCTCATTTCCAGCTGATCTGATCACAGCAAACCTCAGCTTCTCCTTTTCTCCTGAGTTTATTCTGGGGTCTGACAGCAGCTGCAACAGTTATGAAATACTGATGGTTTCACACATGAACCTTTGTGCAGCTGAGTTTAAAGTAAGACGCTGCATGGATGAGGTTGTTGACTCTAAAGTGCAGCTTCCATTGTAAATTCCTTACATGGTGGCTCCTTGTTTGCTGTCTATGAACTTTAATATAACAGGCATATCCTTTCACTCACAACTGGCTTTTCTTTCTCCATCTGTTTATTTATTTTTTCCCTTGCTCAGACGGTATTGCCAGGCCACGGCCGCTCCGAGTCTCCTGTCTACACCAACCTCAAAGAGCTGAAAGGCACCCAGACCAACCTGCCACCTCTGCCCTCTGGCTCTCCCCTCCACGTCATCGGAGACTGGGAGACCCACAAAGACCACAGCGGCAGACACTACTACTACAACCACTCCACCAACGAGAGAACCTGGAAGCCACCAAGAAGCAGAGAGACCAGTATTGGACATTCCCGGGAAGAGAGACACAGCACAGGGGACAGCAACGAGGTAATGACTTTTGTGTGTAAGGTTATTCTTAGTTCTCTGAATAATTGGCAGCATCATCCCAGCATTTCTACAAAGTCTAGGTTCTTTAGATCTGTATTGTCCTGAGGGTGACTGAAAACATACCCATAGGGTTTGTTGATTGCCGTTTACATGGTTACCTCTCTGTGCATTTAAGATGGGCGTTGGTTTGGGATGTAGAGCAGGAATGTGAACGCTTTTCCTCCCAGCCATGGACATCTTCTGCTTTTAGACATAAATTGTTCAACTGTTACCGGTAGCTTGTTCAAACAGCGGCCGACCCCGGACTCTGTTTTTTTTTTTCTCGTCTAGTCCCGCCTGTTCCATTTACTGATTGGTTCTTTTTTCTGTTCTCCCATTTTCTGATTGGATTTTCATCAATATTAGTTTTCATTGTCGTCTTTAATTCATAGACAAAAATGTCGATCGATACTCATCATAATGAAGTCTTTTTCTCAGTCCGTGAACTCACCATCTCCGGGTACTAATTTAATAATAATATTAATAATAATAATACATTTTATTTTTAATGCACTTTACATTACAGAGGTAATCTCAGTGTTATAATTTGAGCTTATGGGGACAGATTTATCATATTTTTACTTTCAGAATTAAATAATAATATATATACATATATTTATTTTATTCATTATAATTTATTTATTTAGTTATTTGTTTTATTTTCAAGAATAAGTACACACACACACACACACACACACACACACACAAACCAGCTCAGTTGCCTAGTGGTATGTGTCTCCACCCTAGGACTCACTGGGAGATTGTGGGTTCAAATCCACGGTCGGGTCTTACCAAAATGGGAGCTGATGCAGTCAGCTTTAAGGGCTTTGATTGGAGGTTAAAACACCAAATGGTTCCCGAGCACAGCCATTGCTGCAGCACGCTGGGGATGGGTCTAATATGGAGAACAAATTTCACCAGTTTTTGATGACTAATGGGACTTAACTTTAAAAATAAACACTAACTAGAACTCTAGAAGTTTGTCAACTCTGACTGACTGATTAGTTTTAGATAATGAAAGTTTTAGTTTTGTTTCTGACAAGCAGATCATTAAACAACCAAAGCAGAATCATTTCTTCATGTTTGGATGAATTGTTTATTAAAACTAGAGAAAGAAAATAAAACTTCCCTTCAGCCTTTTCAGATTCATCTGGTCTGTGGTTCAGTTTAAATGAACCCAGCAGTGATTTACTGTGATTAGGATCAAATCTCTCTGTCTCACGTACGTGCACACACACACACACACACACACACACACACACACACACACCCACCCCCACCCCCACCCACCCACCCACCAATTAGCTGTAAAACATATTTTGAAGTGTCTTTTCTGATTCTCTGTCAGTAGATGACTGTACCACACTGCCACCTACAGGCCGGAGTTAGTCACGTCTTCAAATCTGTATCAGTCAGGATTCTTCTTCAGATTTACTCCTCCCTGTTGAATCAGTCAGACATGTGGGCGAATATTCTCCTTTCTGGTGTCTCTTCTGGTCCTCTGTCTCATATCTAGCTGGTGGCTTTTGGGTGCATAAGTTGTCTTCTGTCCCCTGAAAAGATTCTCTGTTTTCTCTTTCTTTATACTAATACTGTAGACCACTCCTCTCTCGCTCTCGCCAACTTTCCTTCCCTTCCTGTCGCTGTCCAACGGTCGAGCCCAGCCTCTGTCTTCAGAGGACACCAGCTTCAGTACCTACTCTAGCCGTTCAGACAGCCAGTATGGTTCTCCACTGCGGGGCTGGTCTGAGGAGATGGACGAACACGGCCACACGCTGTACATCAGCGACTATACAAATGAGAAGGTACCGTCTGCACAGAGCCCCTCTGCTCGGTCTTTACTGTAGTTTGGGTTGATTCATGGTGAATTTCTCATTCTTCTGCATGAGTTTTGGGTTTATTTGCATTGATTTGTCAGCTCTGAAGTTCTGAACACAGATTTAATGTGTGTTTAAATAGTTTGATGAGATTGGTTCATTTTTATCTTCCCTAAAAATCTTAATTGTATTTTTGTAACAAGTCTGGAGGTTTGTAAGAAAAAAAGTCTCAAATGAAAGATGATAATCTGGATCCAGACAGTTTGTCATTTCTCTGGTGCGTCTGTCTTTGTTCCATCAGTGGTTAAAACATGTTGATGACCAGGGGCGGTCCTATTACTACAGCGCTGACGGCTCCAGGTCAGAATGGGAGCTGCCAAAGGTGAGATGCTGGAAAATAAAAATCACCATGAAGATAAAAAAGACTTGAAGTGTAGCTCAACGTTGTAACCTAAAATGCATTTTTCACTCACTGCAGTTAAAGTCCAGTAATAGCTTTAGTCTTTATAATGGTTTATGCTGTAGAAATACAGAACAAATCAGAGAAAATAAGCTATTTCTGTAATCATCTTTCTAAGCTGCTGAAGTCTAAAGCACAAACACATTTATACTTCAACACTACTGCTGGATCTGTGTTCAGCTCATCCAGGCTGAATGCGTCGGGAGAAGGTCGTTTACTATGAGAGGACAATCGTTTAAAATGAATATTACATATTTTAAGGCTTTCAGCCAAAGGAAAGGAAAGTGAGGAGATTTAAAATACAGATAAAATATTGAGACTTGTAGAGAAATGTTCCACAGTGTAGGGCTAGTGCTAAAACTTTAGTGTGCTTTGTACTTAAAGCTAACTTTTTAGGGTCTAAACTTGTTAGTTTATAAGAGAGCATAAACTTTAATTCGTTAATAAATAAATCCTCATCTGCTGCGGTTTACTGGCATACTTCCTTTGACAATAAAATATTACTGTTTATTCTAGGGGCCCACAAACTCAAAAACATAATCCTATATGTAGTCTGGCCACGGCCCATTAACTCATTCACTGCCAGCCGTTTCCTGATCGGTAAAGCCCTTCGCTGCCAGCGTTTTTCAGCATTTTTACAGTTTTTTTTAAAGTCACAGAACGTTACGTGCTAGGATGATGTCGACACCAAAACTACCAAAACAAAGAGTAGACTCACCTCTTACATCAGGAAGAATCTGCGCGTTTCGAGTGTTATTCGTTCTTTCATAATGCGTTGTTGAATTGTGATCGGCAGAAGCTTTTCCGGTTCGCGCCTCACTTTTTTTTACATCAGCGGCCCAACACAATCTCCTAACACGTGGATTTTCTGCTTCCTGATCACGTGACGTGTGCGGATGAAGATCGGCTTTAGAGCTGGGATGTTTGTTCGCACGGTGCGGGGGCTCGTTCCGATGCCCACACAGTAAAAACATGCAAATGACGACTTTAGTTGTCATTGGCAGTGAACGAGTTAACGGCTCTCAGTCATGGGGCAGGGTCTACGCTTGTCTTTCAAACTGTTCCCACATGCTATTGGATATAAAACGATGTGGCTCTCTCTCTCACTGCTACAAATAGGGATGGGTACCTTTGACATTTGAATCGATCCGGTACTAATTCCCGGTACCTACGAATCGATACCGGTACTTAACGGTACCAATTTTCGATACTTTTGAGTGTTTAATATTTTAATTCACTTAATTAAATACAAATTTTTCTCAATTTGTAACCATATTTGATCAATTTCACGATAAATAACATACAACTGTTTGTATTTTAACATAGTCCTTGTAGTTTTATAAGTTGATAATAAAACTGAAGCAAACATCTTTACTGTGAACTAAATTTACTGTATATCTTCATTCCTTTTGCCATCCTTTTTCATTTAATTTTTCCTACTGGGAAGTTAGAATTTCCGAGGAGAAAGCGAACGCACTATTAGCTGATAAAAATGGTGGCAATGGAAGCTAACATATCAAGCTAACGTTATCTTAAACAGTTTATTTAGTTGCTGAAGCAGATTAAAACGATGATGCCTCACACTTAGATCGTTGTCGCTGGTTTCATCTTCACCCAATCACCTGTCGCATTTAGTAAAGTGAAGCCAAACTTTAGTGCACGTTCATGTTCTTCTAGTCGGAAATTCGGAGTTCCGAGGAGAAAGCGAACGCACCATTAGCAGAACGGAAGCTAACATATCAAGCTAACATTATCTTAAACATTTTATTTACCTACCAGAGCAGATTAAGATGAGGATGTCTCACTTAGATCGTTGTCGCTGGTTTCATCATCACCCAGTTATGGGCTCGACACACGGGAGGTGACAAACGACCGCGATCAGCGAAATTTGTCGCTGTCGCTTTTATTACCTGACACACGGGAGGCGATCTGCGGCAGCGGCCAGCGGCAAAGCCGTCTACGCGTTCTGCTCCATGGCGAAATCGAAACTTCCATTGTTTTGCTTGGCTGTATCAGGTTGGAGAGAATTAAGGTTATTTAAGCGATTCAGAGTCAAAAAATTGGTAGATATGATGTTTCACAAGGTGCTGTTAGAGTTATGTGAAATCTTACTTCTGATTTTACTATATAAGACATAATAATAATCAACTTCTCCTCCATGTATGCTCGGAGGTGTACGGAGCATCCTGTTCGCTCATTGGTCAGTGAATGAAACCTCCTTTGATTGGTCCTCGTCCGAGCAACAGCGATGAAAAGTTGAAAATGTTTCGACATTCTGGGATCGCGTCGCTGGGTCGCCTGTGCACGACACGTGCACGAGCGCAAAATTTCACATGCACGTTTTTCGCATTTCGCTTGGTAGGAGGGAGACCCGCATGTCTCATTGAAAATGAATGGAGGAGAGGCGATGTCGCCTCCCGTGTGTCGAGCCCATTGGCGTGCGTTCTTTCTACCATGCTGCTCTGTTTACAACTCGCTCGCAGCGACCGACGACATAACATTCTTGCACATGTGCAGCTGTCTTGGCAAATTCTCGTTATGAAGGACGGGTACCGAAACGAGGCACCGTTTCAAATGACGTGAATCGGTGCTCAGTCGGTACTATGGAATTCGGTCGGTACCTTAAAAAGTACCGAATTCGGTACCCATCCCTAGCTACAAATGTCGGTCAACGAGGCAGTCCGCCATACGTTGTCAAAGGAGATGCAAATACGTCCTTTTTAAGTAGTTAAGTACATCTGTCTGCTCTTGACTGAATAGTCCAAAGTAGTTGCTAAAGGCATTTTAAATAAGCTGTGGCCATCTTTGTTTTTTCAGTAACATCCAGCCTACAGAGTGCTGTGATTGGCTCACCAACCCATTAGAGCACTGTGATTGGACCCCCACTGATGTTAGTCAGTGGGACGTCCGCCATTACATAGTGGAGGAACTACATAAAACCTGAAACAATGCATAATTTTTCTAAATAAGCGAGCTGTGATTGGTCAGCTACAATTCTGGCCGGGCTTGCGGAGGTTTCAATGGAACGTGCCTAGACCGACGTGCAAAGAAAAAATATTTTAGCTTCGGCAAATGACGGTCTAGATTCTAGGCTACAAATAATTTAAAAATTTAATAAATTCATTAAAAATAGTTTTATTTGTGCTATTTGTGTCAACCAAAATTAGGAAGTAGAGCTCTGCATGGGACTCTTTAACTCTTTCGCTGCCAGCTGTTTCCTGATTGGTAAAGCACTTCGCTGCCAGCTTTTCTCACCGTTTTTAATGTTTTGTTAAGAGTCACAGAACGTTGCACGCTAGGATGATGTCGACGCCAAAACAACCAAAACAAAGCAGAGACTCACCTCTTACATCAGGAAGAATCCGCGTGTTTTGAGCGTTATCCATTCTTTCATAATATGTTGTTGAATTGTGATCGGCAGAATCTTTTTCGGTTCGCGCCTCACGTTTTTTACAGCAGCGGCCTAAAACGATCTCCTAACACATGGGTTTTCTGCTTCCTGATCATGTGACATATGCAGATGAAGATCGGCTTTAGAGCTGAGATGTTTGTTCACACTGTGTGGGGGGCTCGTTCCGATGTCTACACAGTAAAAAACTGCAATTGACGACTTAAGTCGTCATTGGCAGTGAACGGTTGAATTTAAAATGACGACTTTAGTCGTCAATGGCAGTGAATGAGTTAAAAATCCTGCTCCTGCTGATTATGTCTGACGCACCCCCGCCTGCTCCTGTAGTATTTAAAAATTATGCACAGCTTTCCATATCTCAGGATTTACGTCCTTCCCTTTAGCTTTCTTCTCTTCCGTCATACTTTATTACCACCTTAATGTTTACTCTCCATTCTACCAACAGCATTGGGACTCACTGCCTGTCTTTAACGTGCTGCTCCAGCCAGCAGCAGTCTACACCCACCTGCTCTGTTTGGTGGGACACCAGTCCCAAAGCAGGGCTTTAGCAGGAAGCCTGGTTCATACCAGGAGACGTTTGGGTTTAAAGACAAATGTTTACAATCAGTTCAGTCCAGCAGTCTCTGAATCACATTCAGTAGATACCAGATAGCACCGGACGAGAAACATGCAGAAACCTCGAGCAGAACCAGGATAAAAGTGGGCGGCTCTCTGGCTTGATCTTCTAATACAGAAGAGTTGGTCCAGTCATCATTTTTATGGAACAAAGTATCATCTTCCCCCTGAAACAGGAGCGCCAGAGCTTTTGTTCCACATAAAACAGCTCACAAAGCATTCATTCATACTAGAGACCACAGCAGATTAATGTAAGATGAACAAATGATGTGCAAACACAATCTGTAAGAAACATTCAGATTAAAAACAAGTTCATTAATAACGACGCCCTTCTACATCATAAAAGTTGCATGGAAGGTTTTGTCACAGACTGACTCATATTTGAGTGGTTATTTGTTGTCCATCTCTGTCCTGCAGTATAAACACTCCCCACCTCAGCTATCTGGGAACGTCTCAAAGACTCAAAGCCTGGACCGTAAGATCGCGGAGCCCATCGTTTTAACAAAGTGGAGACACAGCGCCTACATCCAGGAGCCAAGCGAAAAGGTTTGACATCATCAAAGCACTCGCTAAGAAACCCGTTGTTTCCTCTTATTCCTGACCGTTGGTGTCCTGCCGGTGTGCAGACCAAGGACAGTGTCGCTGGCTGAGTTTGTTGAGTGTCAGATTTAGACTCATTCCTTTTGCAGCGGCTGATAAAAACCAGGCGTTTTCGCTCAGGCTCCACCCGGCCACACCCGTACAAACCCAAAGTCAGTAATCTGAACAGAACAAACCCAGTCGCCGTGCATGAGGAGAATCACACAGTGATAATTACATTTTTCTCCACAGTTTGCTGGTTGAGTTGATTGGTCCTTTAATCATTAATGACCTTAACAGGTTTTAAGCAACACAACAAATTAACCTGAAAACACTTTTCTGAATCTTTTGTTGATGAATGTTTGTGTTTCTACTAAAACCCACAGGTACTGAACAGCTGCTGCTTGAGCCTTACATCATCTTCTCTTCTACGTGTCTGTGACGATGTTGTTGTTCTGTCTCTTCATTAGGATGCTCCTCTGTCCCCAAAGCCCCCTTCTCCTGCCTCTGACTCGTGCTGTTCGTCTCCAAAGCCCCCCGCCTCTGTTAGTACTCACCACTAACGTCACACACTGCAGGGTTTATCCTCCTCTGGGGTTGTAAGGCACCGAATCAGGTTGCAGCATATTGCAGAGTTCCTGCACAGGACTGGAAATCCCGCAAACGATTAGATTAAATATTTTATAACAAAACTGGAGAAACCCAAACCAAACTGATGGAATCCTTTCTGTGTTGGAACAGTTCAGACGGATGTGATCTTTGCTGCTTGGTGTGAGCGTGTGTCTTTGAATCACTGAAGAGTTGTTTGATCTAATCTATGTGAATAATCTCTGCTGTCCTGAGTGGGAACAGTGGTTAAAGTGGTTTCATTTCCTCTCCTCTGAAAGCTGTTGTTGCTCTGGTTGTGGGAGTTTTGGTGACTTGCGTGGCTCTGCTGAACTGGTGGGGTTCCCGGGTTTGTTTTTAATGCCATCATCTGCTGCTTGTTTCTGTCTGCAGCCGTCTGAGAAGTGTGGCGTTCTGAATGTGACTAAGATCACTGAAAACGGCAAGAAAGTACGGTGAGTCAGACTTTTCTGTATTTAGGAGATAAAAGCTGTTTTCTCTGCACCGGCTGACATTGGGAGATGATGGGGGTGTAGCTACGAGCATACATGCACACCAAGGTTTAGCTCATTATCTGTAAACATGATTGACTTATGGACATATTTTGGTTGTCTTAACATCACCTGTAGTGGCCATCTTGAATCAGGTTAACACGTTTTAGATTTTTGATGTTTTATATATTGTATAACATGAATTGTGTTTGTTTTGCAGGAAGAACTGGACTTCCTCGTGGACGGTCCTCCAGGGTTCAGTTCTGCTGTTTGCTAAAGGACAAGGAGGCGGAGCCAGCTGGGTAAGTGAGGAAAACATTCCATTTATCAGTCGATTTATCTGCTAAAACATTACCAACATGCACACAGTCTGACAAATATCCCTCATGGTTCTACACCCATTAGGGAAGTTGTTTATTTTTCTTCCCTCTGTCTGCATTTCCTCCAAAGTTGCAAACTCACAATCTAACCTGCAGTAACACAACCTCTAAACAAAACATCATTCTGCTTTCATCTGCAACACTTTCCATGTTTCTGTTCCATCCCGTGATTACTGGCCCAGTTTGGAGGAGGTCAGTCTAAGCCAGAGTTTACTGTGGATCTAAGAGGCGGCTCGGCCGATTGGGCCTCCAAAGACAAGTCGAGCAAGAAGCACGTTTTAGAGGTGAGGGCCGACGCAAATGACACTTTAAAAAGATTAGTTCAACCTTTACTCTCTGTGAATGTGTTTCTATACACAACTATTAAAGCATTGAAAGGTTTAATTATAATTGAAGCAAAATGCACTTCTGTGCAGTTTTGCAAATGAAAAGTTTGATTTCTAATAACAAAAGAAATTTGATGCAAGTCGTCATCATTGTTTGTTTTACTGGGTGAATTCTGGATGTTTTAGAACAAAGAAGGCACTAAAACAGTAAAAAAAAAATCACACTGTTCTCGTGAATAACTTTATTAGATGAATCACCTCAAATAGCTTCAATACAGTGATTGAAATTTGGCACAGAAACTCCTTAAAACACTCCGAGACAAAAAACCTGAAGGATCTGGAGTGACTTTATAAATGAGGACGTTCTGTGTAGCAACCTCACAACGTGGTGGTTCCTCTGCAGGTGAAGACTCGTCAGGGCACGGAGCTGCTCATCCAGTCCGATAACGACGGTCTGGTCAGCGACTGGTTGAAAGCGCTGCAGGAAGCCATCAACACACATGTGAGTGGTGCCTCCTTCCTCTCAGCTTCTGCTTCAGCCTCTTCCCAACCTGGATCAGCTGATTGAGAAGGCCGTTGGCCGAGACCTTTACAGCCGGTTGTGTTTTACTTCCTTGTTTGCGTTTGTGTGTTTCAGCCGGTTACCTCTGACGACAGCAGGTCAGACAGCGAAGAGGAGAAGCCCGCTGTGGAGAAACAGGACAAGGAGAAAGACCTGACAGCCTCAAAGAAAGTCAAAAGTAAAAAGATGTTTAAAATAAATAAAGTGAGAAAGTTTCTTCAGATGAGTGATCATGAAAACATGGAACGTCTGATTCCTCTGAACTGTAAACTCGGGTTTTATGAGATCAGAAGTGAAAGTACAAAGTACAAAAGCAGCTGGAGGAGTCGTTTTTCTGTTACTGTATCATATACCCGCTGATCGGTGTGAGGGACTCGAACCATCAAGCTGCTGCTGACATGGCGAGCAGAACGCTGAGGCGGGTGGTGAGTAACTCCATCTTGTCTCATCTCTCTTCCTCAGCCCTGAAGCCGACGACCAGCGTGGAGACGTCCGACAACAAAAAAGCCAAAAAACGTCTGAAACACTTCCTCACCCGCCGTCCGACGCTGCAGGCCGTCAAAGACAAGGGCTACATTAAAGGTTTACCCCTTTTAGTTCCCAAAAACCACACGTAAACGGCTACGTTCATGTCTTTACCTGGTAAATGTTCTCACAGAAATATGTATTGTACATTTATTTATGTAGTTTGTTTTGTTTCATTATCGATATAAAAATTACTTCAAACAAAAGATGAAGTTAAAACCTAATTTATCGGATCAAATGGAAGTTGTTGAGCAAGCAAACTGAAAACAGCTGATTTATAACCACAGATTAAACTTTTATTTATTATAAACACAAACTGTAAGGAAAGTTGATATAAAAGTAAGAAAAGATGATTGTTTTAGGTCTTGTGGCCCTCACGAGTCCCGCTGTGGTTTTGGACGGTTCTAACTGGCGTTTCTATGGTTCTGCTCTCAGATCAGGTGTTTGGCTCCAGTCTGTCCAGTTTGTGTCAGCAGGAGAACACCACGGTGCCGCTCTTTGTGAAAATGTGCATCGACCACGTGGAGAACAGCAGTGGGTGATGTTTATCTGACCGTTATTAGTGTCTGTATGAAAGGGACCGCTTTATCGTCTCCATAAACGTTTATCATTGATCTTCTGCAGATTTGTCTATGGACGGTTTATATAGAGTTAACGGGAATCTGGCTATCATACAAAAACTACGCTTTGCTGTTAATCATGGTAAGTCTCAAAGACAAATGGCATCTTAAATGTGTAAACTAGCTTTTAGTGACAGAAACCAAGCGACGTTTGTTTGCGTTTGCCCAGATGAGAAGGTGAACCTTGCAGACGCGAAGTGGGAGGACATCCATGTGACCACCGGAGCATTAAAGATGTTCTTCAGAGAGCTGCCAGAGCCGCTCTTCACCTACCCGCTGTTCAACGACTTCGTCAGCGCCATCAGTACGTCCGACACACGGCTTCGCCCACGCGTTTGTTCACACAGAAACCTTGAGTTTAACGGTCTGAGGCGCTGGTTTTGGTCTGTAATGGATCCAGAGTTTGTTTTCCTTCCTCTGCAGAGATACCGGACTACAAGCAGCGACTGCAGTCGATCAGAGAGCTGGTCAGGCAGCTGCCCAAACCCAACCACGACACCTTGCAGGCTCTCTTCAAACATCTTAAGAAGTAAGAAAATCACAATTTAAAGGTTTTTGTTGAGTTGAAACAAAACTACAAGGTTCTGCTGATGTTTTCCCTCCAGGGTGATCGAGCACGGTGAGGAGAACCGTATGACCACCCAGAGCGTGGCCATCGTGTTCGGTCCCACGCTACTGAGGCCTGAAACCGAGACGCTCAACGTGGCCTTCAACATGGTTTATCAGAACCAGATAGTGGAGTTTATTCTGCTGGAGTATGAGAATATCTTTGGCCGGTAGACTCAGAAATGATCCACGCGTTTTTTTTTTTTTTTTTTTTTATCAACACAATCAGAGCTTTTCCTGATCCACCGCAGCTCTGCAGAACAACCAGTCCTGACTCTGCGTCTCAAACCAACTCAGCTCTGCTGGTTCCTTTACTACTTCAACATCTGGATCAAATATCTTATGAACTTCCAACATAAACACTCCTTCATAAACATCGACTCTTTGCACTTTTCAGTTTCTGGTTTTCATCCTGCAGCTGCGTTTGTGCCACTTTACTGCGTTCTTCCCGTCCCGACACTGGATCCTTACATAGATGTGGACCGGGCCGCTGCTGCTCAGAATAATGGTGCAGCTGGAGAACCAGCCGGAGCTGACTGTATTACAGTTGAGGCGTCAGTATTGCTGAGCAGTCTTATAGTCACAAACCTGGGAGAACCGCCTAAATCTAACCGCTGAACGGCGTTCAGGTGTTCATTAAGGTCACGCTCGAACAAGGTACGGGGACTACGACAGGGTTTTGCCTCTTTGCTGTTTTATTTTAAATGTTTCTGTAATTTTCCCTCCAAATCTGTTTTCTAAGAAACAAGCTGGAGGTTTCCTGAACACGTAAGACTTTATCACCTCTCTGTATTAAATCTGCACACCACCTTCTCCTGGCATGGCTGTGACGAGTAAGAGCAGCACTCGTGTGCATCTTCACCAGTAACGGATACTAAAACACGTCAGCGATCAGCCTCTGCTCATAAATCTGTACAGTGTGTGTGAATGGATGGATGGATTTAGTGATATATTCTACAAATAGTAAAAAAACGAATACCTTGAGTGTTAAAAATGTGATGCGTTGAGTGAGTCGTGTGTGAGTGAGTGACAGACGGGATTGAAACTGTAAACTGGAGATGTGGAGTTTACATGTGAGTCAGGTACTGTTGGATTAGTAAACTGGAATAAATACCTTTAATGAGAAAAACACAAAGCAGGTGTGCTGTTTGTCTGACCAACCACAGCTTTGAGATGTCAAATAGTCTTTATCTCGGTGGTGTTTTTAGAGCTGAGAGTCCAGCTTTCCTACCTGGAGCGGCACAGACCTGAGAGGTGGTTGACAGGAAACAAGGCCGTAACAAAAATATCTATTCATGTTTAGCTTTACATCAGTTATGAATAAATGATAATATAATGAATTAATTTCTTATTTATTTGATATCTAGAATTTAACTGTTTCATGTTCTTGAGCTTCTATATAGCATGAAACATTGTTGGGGCTCACAATGACTAGGGAGCCCTGATAAAGGGCCAAACAACCCCATTCGGTCAGGACATGAATATTAAACGCACTGCTTGCTGATTGGCCAGTTCACCCTAATGGCTCTATGCTGTAAGCTGGACACCCTGTGTACTGTATCCAGATTACTCAGATCTGATTGGCCTTCATTCAAAGTCTAGACACTCCTAGTAAGTCTTGGAATATTAAGTGCGTTCTCTGACATTCTTCATAGTTGTTTCCCTTTTATCTGACAAAGTACGTTAGCTGTAGCGTAGGTTAGCATTAGCTTAGGCTAGATTTGACAGTAGCTCTGGGTAGATTTAGAATTAGCTTAAGCTAGCTTTAGCTTTGGCTAGATTTAGCAGTAGCATTAGCAGTAGCTCTAGCTAGCATTGTTCTGTGGTTAGAATTACATTAATCACCGTTAAAATATTTGATTTGAATCACTGGACCCCATTAACACAGTAAACTTTGTTTTCTATGACCCAAAGTAGTGTCCTGACCCTGACTCTGAGAACCATTGCTTGTGATGTTAAATTAACACAATTGTTCTGTCTTTCTGCAGCAGCACAACTTGTTGGAAGCGAATAAATGATCAAATCGCTTCAGTCATTTTCAACCTCTTTGGCACCACAGTCCAACTTTTCTGAAGGTTAAGCTTATTATATAAGCAGATTCAACACCAGTTTTCTACCAGGACAAAAAAAAGAACATCACAGGCAAACAAAGTTTCTGTTTGCAATTCAAATGCTTGAAAATGTGGCAGACTTGTGTCTCATGGATTTTAATGAGATCTTTGATGTCTGGTCAGGGTTAAACCATGATAATAAAATATTTTCTCTCAGAATACAAAGCATTTGAAGAGGCCAAAGGTCTTTTTTTATTCCAGTGTTTGCAGCCTATATGTCGACCAACATAAATACCTTATGTCTACAGAAATAAATCCACTTTCTGTTTGGCCTTCCAAACCCAGAAATTTCTGTTCAGCGCGTTTCCATATAGAAGACAAAACATCAAGACAAACATTCCTACCCAAGGTTCCTACTCTCTCTGTGAACACCAGACGTCAACATTCTTCACTCTGGATAAGTGAAGACTCTGATTTTATAGTTATAAGTTAAATAATCATATGTGATGAATGAACAAGATGCTTAAATGACCTGTGCTTAAATCAATGATGGCTTTAAAATGAATATTGTTCTTTACAATGATCCATTTATGTCACAAATCACTATGTGTTTGATTTAACAAGTTAATCATTATCTTCACTCATACACATTACAATAAGATACATATTAAGGTTAAAAACATCTTTGTATCTGAGGAGGGCGTGGCTTTCTGAGGGATGCTGGTAAATACTCAGAAATGTGTCAAATTCTGATTTGCCAAACTTGGCCAGAAATCATAGCAAAGTAGTTTAATAAAACAAGAATTACTTCCCGATTAATTCAGTTTTCCAGCTGAACCCTGATTCGGCCTAAGTGGGAAAGAAGCATCTTTTGAAACAAACTCCTTTGACCTTAAGTCAAAACCTTTCTGCGACGCTGCAAGTGATTACAGACACAACAGCTCTTTTCAGAGCTACTTCACACCTGAGACACCTAATCTGCAGACCCCGGATTGCATCTCATGGCCGGGAAAGCTGAACGCAGAGGAAGCTACTAATCTCTGAATATTGTGGTTTCGACGTCCGGTGACCTCACCACGCTGTCCGCAACCCTCCGGACCGCCGGGAGCAACTCATACAAGGGTATCGTAAGCCAGCATACTGGTGTCTGATGACGTTTATAAATAAACAACTCTCTAGTTATAAACAACAAATTCTTTTACACCCAGGTTTCACAATTTCTCTCAGATACAAAGAACTGTTACTACAATATCTAGCTTCCATCACAACACCTCACATCCACCACAACACATCTCATTATTCATATCTTGTCATGTATAAATTATTAGTTTAGGGAAAAGAATTTGTTAGGCATTTTATCAATATATTTTATCAATAAACCCATTTCCTGCAGTCGAAGAGAAGAGGAGAGAGACAATAAGACAAGTAAACCAAATTGCAATCTGTGGCAGAGCACAAAGCAACTGCCCTGAGTTCAGCTCTGCAAGTTTATTTTATAACATGAGATAAGGAAAGAAACAGAGGTGTGTGTGAATGGGAGTGAGAGAGAGAGAGAGTGTGTGTGTGTGTGTGTGAGAGTGAGAGAGAGAGAGTGTGTGTGTGTGTGTGTGTGTGTGAATGAGAGAGAGAGAGAGTGTGTGTGTGTGTGGGAAGAACAAGAATGTGTGGGGGTGTGTCTAGGTGTGAATATGCTTTCAGGCATAAGGTAATACATTAGTTAATAGGATTAAAATAATGAAATATAAACTTTCCCTAACATAATCCCTCCTGTTTATCCGAATAGGATAACCAAACAAAAAGAAAGCAACAACACAAGGAACAAATAAGTAAAATAATAAAGAATAAATAAACACGATAAGGCAAACACAACTGACAATAACATCTTACAGCAGTTTACAGAGATATAAGTGAGATAATGGAAATTGGTTAAATCAACACCATAATATACTTAAGAAGAGTTATTGCATACATTTGAAGTGAATTTACTGTGATGCAGTAATTCTACAATTTACAGCAGTTCCTGTAAAGAGATTGGGAAGGGTTAGCAGAACCATATAATATACAGAAAACATCAGTAGAGTTTATTGTAACATCAGGTGGATTTAAAGCTTCAAGTTGCAGACTACTCGTTCTGTGAATGAGGGAAAATGAACAGGTATTATTAATTTATGCAGCTCTAACTATGGCAGCTGTGGCAAATCAAGCGTTCTTCATCAAAGGGCTTGTTTGTGGACTGAGAGTCCTGATTGAAGAATAGTTTGGAAGGTCAGAGTTCTCTTCCTTTGATCAGGATGGTTTATGTCTTACGTTGATGATTTCCTTGAAGTCCAGGTCCGGAATGCATGAATGGAGTTCGGGATGTGAGAGCGCACTGTTCAACTTCTCAATGGGAAGACGTCAGGGTCCTTCCATGGCGTGTTGAGGTGGTTGTCCAATTGTCAGGGATGTAACGGAATGAAATGGCTATTTTCCACCCAAAAGTCATTTCCCCCTCTCCTCTGACACAGAACTAATCGGCATGAGACTGCCTCAAGGTCGCATGCATTTGCTCTAAACTGTTTTCTTTTCCAACCCAAGAGATGAATGAAGAAAAGGACTCTCTCCTTTTAATGAATCAAAGAACTCTATTTTTAATAAATCTAATCAAACAAAGTGTTAGTCAATAATAAGATGTGACCAATCTGTCAAGTTGAGGGACAGGCCCCCTGTCCCAGGGACAGGCCCCACTCTGTGTGTGAGTAGGTCAGCATAGCCCAGCAGTCTCCAGCAGTCTCCTTTGTTTGGGTTACGATTAGGAAACAGTGAGATTTGGCATGTGGCACTGAGAAATGGCCAAATCACTCAGTAAAGCCAAATGAACATTTATCATCTAAATCCCATTTATAAAATAAATTTAGGTGTGTAACAAAGATTCATTAAACTTTATCATGTTTTCTGAAATCCAAGTTATAAAATGTGGCCAGTATCATACTGTCAGCCCTACAATAAATTAAATATTTGGTCATTTACAAAACTTGCTATTTGATGTGTTCTGCAAAAAGTCTGTTCATTAATTGATTTGAAATTACCAACATCTAAATGTGTAGTGTAGTTTATCTACAGAACTAGGATTTAACACTGTTTGCTATGCAGCTCTGCTAAATCCTGAGAAAGATCAAACAATTTGGCATATGAACTTATATTTACATAGATATCCACGGATATTTATATAATCGATAGAAGTTCATACACCAACTGGCTTGGTCTATATTTAATCCAAAGATTAATATTTAATTTAAGAGATTTAAATTAATAGCAAAAGTTAATTATTTTAACTCAGAAGATTTAAAGACATCTTTGCTCGTTCAGTGACCAAATATACACACCTCTGTGTTTCATTTCAAAGAAGAGTCAGGTTTAAAAGTTAAGAATTAATTACTAACAATTTAAAGATGACAATTTAAAAAACAATTCATAAACGACAATTTTTAACAGCTTTGATATTAAAACTTGGTATTAAAGCAACCTGTGTCTGGATGAACTAAAAATGAAGTGTGTGGGTGTTTGGATGTGTGAATGTAATCTCAGAAGGTTTCTATCAGAGAGAGAAAACGTGTTCTCGGTGAAAGAGTTGTTTTGCAGCTGAGCTAAGTTATTTCTTAAAGAAACAGGCATACGGACGCAATCTGTCAGAAGTGTCTACCTCACCCAGTTAGGAGACCCCCTTTTGGAGCTGAGATGTCAGGTGGGATGATGAACCCCCAAGCACGAGGTGGGTAGAAGAACCGTAGTGCGACCAAATCGGTCCTGAGATGTCTCCGGGTCACAACGACTGATGAAACTGGTTGCGTCTCAAAAATCAATAACTCTGAAGGAGTTTTGCATCAGCTGGTTGCAGATGACGTTTCTTGTTGAAGCAATTCTATCAGCGTGAAAGAACAGCTTAGTAGAGGTTTTGGGCGGCCGACTCGATCCTCTGGGACTCTTGTGCCACAGAGAGATTTTGGTGAGCTCAAGAAATGAACTTGAACTGAGGAGTTTAAGTGTTAACAAACCTCAGGACATGCCCTCTCAGAGATAGAACGCTTTGGTTATGGAGCAAAGA